AAATCCAGAGATCATTTGGCATATGTGCTACTAATTAATTGTATTATCTATGTTGATGTTTGAAGGCGTTGAAAGGGCTTTGAAAGGGCTTTGAAAAGGCTTGAAAAATAAAATTAAGAAACTTAAACAGAAAACATAAAAATATTCCATTTAGGCATAAATAATCAAAACTGTTTAAACGCATAGCTCACAACGTACAATAGATACTATAGACACACATATCAGTAGGGGTGGATCAGCAAGGAACTCACCATCATTAATGTTGCAAGCTCAGATAGTAGACACAGGTGTATAGTGTGTGTAGGGCCAATACCCGTTATAGCTCCACCTCATTACATGTACATTACGTTGTAACCCGCCAACGCTGTTACTGTGTTACTACCCTTGCATAGCTCACAACGTACAATGGATACAATAGGCACACATCAGTAGGGGTAGGATCAGCAAGGGACTCGCGATCATTAATGTTGCAAGCTCAGACAGTAGACACAGGTGTATAGTGTGTGTAGGGCCAATACCCGTTATAGCTCCACCTCATTACATGTACATTACGTTGTAACCCGCCAACGCTGTTACTGTGTTACTACCCTTGCATAGCTCACAACGTACAATGGATACAATAGGCACACATCAGTAGGGGTAGGATCAGCAAGGGACTCGCGATCATTAATGTTGCAAGCTCAGACAGTAGACACAGGTGTATAGTGTGTGTAGGGCCAATACCCGTTATAGCTCCACCTCATTACATGTACATTACGTTGTAACCCGCCAACGCTGTTACTGTGTTACTACCCTTGCATAGCTCACAACGTACAATAGATACAATAGTCACACATCAGTAGGGGTGGATCAGCAAGGGACTCGCGATCATTAATGTTGCAAACTCAGATAGCAGACACAGGTGTATAGTGTGTGTAGGGCCAATACCCGTTATAGCTCCACCTCATTACATGTACATTACGTTGTAACCCACCAACGCTGTTACTATGTTACTACCCTTGCACAGCTCACAACGTGCAATAGATACAATGGGCACACATCAGTAGGGGACAGGGGTGGATCAGCAAGGGACTCGCCATCATTAATGTTGCAAGCTCAGACAGTAGACACAGGTGTATAGTGTGTGTAGGGCCAATACCCGTTATAGCTCCACCTCATTACATGTACATTACGTTGTAACCAGCCAACGCTGTTACTATGTTACTACCCTTGCATAGCTCACAACGTACAATGGATACAATAGGCACACATCAGTAGGGGTAGGATCAGCAAGGGACTCGCGATCATTAATGTTGCAAGCTCAGACAGTAGACACAGGTGTATAGTGTGTGTAGGGCCAATACCCGTTATAGCTCCAACTTAATTACATGTACATTACATTGTCCCACCAACGCTGTTACTATGTTACCGTGTTACCGCCCTTGCCTCGTTAACATTTTAGTGAATGAATATTTTACAAAATTTTGTATCAGCAAACTGAAACATACTTTCTCTCATTAGCTTGTCAACAACCCTTATAAGCAGTGGAAGTAACTATGATATATTTATAGGTAAAATTACAAAAATTGCAACAACTTTTGAACCGTGCTCTGTACAACATTGGGGGTTATGCAATTTCGTTTAGAGTTACAAGGATCACAACATACTACATTTCAATAAAAATCATTGGAGCCATTTTTCTGAAAATCCGATTTTCTGTTATTTTATGAGTTTTTAAGGTAAAAAAACCCCATTAAAAATCGTGCATTTGCTACTTCAGTTAAAATTAGGTCAGGTTGTCAAACAAGCTACGTGTTTTTCATTTTCCCAACATGTCTATCCATCAGTTTATCGGTTTCTAAGCTCATGAGCTGGTAAATACAAAATGATGCGGAGATATTTTGCAAACGTTACGAGCATAACTATATTTAAATCGATAAGTGGCATGAAATTCAAATAGTGCAAAATTACTCAAAATTTTAAACACGTAAATACATTCAACAAAAGAGTATTGAAAACAATGTTCAGCAGATCATTAAAACACATCACAACATAGTCGTGCGAAACGCAGTCTCGGCAAGCTTCATTCATTCCTTTGCAATCACGGTTTTCGAGAGAGAACAATAGGCTTTCATTTGAGCTCGCAGATTTGCAACACAAAGCAATTTCGCTGATATTGCAGCATAACACTGCACGGGGTATTTAAATTCTCGGTCATGAAATAGTTTTCATTGCTATGCCTTGATGCACCAGGCTACCTAGATCTAAAAATACCCCCGCCGCAGCCAACCTGCCGACTAAGCGAATTTCCATTTGTCTGAATTGATTTTCAGTTAAATATATTTTTATAACATGAGGTTTAACGAGTACCTAGGTTTGCTGCTACAAGGAAACTAATAAAGTGTGTTTTTGAGTAAAATATTGATAACTTAGTACAAAATAAATAAATTTGCCAAGTTTGATCAAAATATATCCATAAACAAGCAAACTACAACATTTGACAATATTCTCCATAAGAATAACATGGGAATTTTAAATTTACAATTTTTTTAATTTTCTCCGTTACTAATAATCAAACAAAAATACTTTTATATACTAAATTATTTGTTTTTTTAAGCTCTTTAAAAAGGTCTAAAGAGAAATCGGGAAATTTTGTGTTTTGAGGGTCAAAAGTGAGAAAACCCAATTTTTACCCCATAAAACGTAAAGCCCCGTTCCCATGGTCCGATCGTGCTGGTTCGCGAACTCATTCAAGTTTATCCCGCTTTACACCTTTAAACCAAATTTCATCAAAATCGGACAAAAATTACTCAAGTTATCGCGTTCACGGACGTATATATATATATATATATATATATATATATATAAAAGTCTATATATATATATATTTATATATACATATATAAAAATTTGAACGAATGGTGTTTTTGGCCTCTGGGGACATCAAAATGAAAAAGTAAATCGGTCCCGGGTCTAGGTCTTACCGTGCCACCTACGGTAATAGCTACTTCCCTATAGGGAAATTCGCTAATATGTTATGTTGTACATAATATACAATACCTGATTGTCTTTAATGTCAAGTAATGTTAAGTATTGTAATTATCGTTATCAGTTGATGGGAATGCCACCTAGATGCGTATTTAACCCAAATATGAGTGAAGGATGAGTGTAGAGTGAAGTAAATGAGCTTTGTAGCTTACTGACTAAGATCAGCTGATTCATTAGTCAGGACCATTAAAAGCCCAATGATCAAGGACAGCTGGGTCCATTTTCAAACCATCAAACAGCTACACACTTTTTTCAGGATCGAATCGGTGACCTTTTGATTTTGCTATAGGCCTTAACTAACGAAAAGCTGCAACCGCTTGAACACCTCTTGGTCTGTTTAGTTTGTTTTGACAAAGTTATAACAAACGAAACGTTAGAATCAATAACACGATATTTAAATTAGTGGATTATTTGTGCAGTAGATAAAGTTTATTCAATGAAATATTCAATTTCAAACATCGACAAACAACAAATAACAGTTACTGCAAGACATAAAGTATATTTATTAATCTAAACGTAAAATCTTGATTACAAGTCTCTAATGGGGAATTCTCAAACAAAACTTGTTATCAAGGTTACTTCTTATCGAGGTCCCCAATAGTACATGTAGTAAAGGGCAAGAGTAAATGATGAAACGTTCATTGCGACTGGAACACTGATGGCCCCGTACCTTTCTATCATCCACGCTGCTTGAATTGAATTTAGGATAGATTGTTTTTGAACTTATTGAAGTGCATCGGCGGATTCAACTTCTCTTTAAGAATAAGAAGAAAGAAAACTCAGTAAAAGATTTCATATAATCTAAAAAAAATAACTCAAGACTCCTAAGTGAATCTGGGACATTACTGGAGGATTCGTTTCAAGAAGGAAATAATCGTCATTTGCCTACGTGATGTTCCAGTCTATGATTTGTACGTCTACAGTGCACATAGAGTATTACCCGTGACATGTTTATTAAAACAATAGAACTTTTTAATTTAGAAAATGTTTGAACAGAATCAACGCGATTTTGTCAGTAGCAAAAGTTTACAACGAAACTGAGATAATTGAAATACATTTCCGTTGGATTTCCTTGCAATTATTGATTCATATACGATAGTATTATTGATTCGTATACGATATCATTGCGGAAAATTTTATGAGAAATATGAATTTATTTTAAATAGCATTTCAACTTGTAATAAAAATACTTCCAACATTGACGTGATTTTATCACCGATGCGATCTAAGGGTTATACTGTATAAAACCTGTGTATTATATTTTTACCATTTTGTTACTAATTGAGATGGGGCCATAACTAAGCGCATTTCACCCAAATAAGTGAAGGATGAGTGTAGAAATGAGATGTTATTGTAGTGAGATTGGAGCTTTGTTACTGACTAAAACCAGTTTTTTTAATCCATAAACATTCATCTTATCTTCTATATGCTTAATAAAATAAACTAAAAAGGTAATTTAATGTTGGACTTCTCCTCCTAGGGATTAATTTTTATTCATAAAGCCAATGAATAAAAAAGGTTCTGTATTCATTGCTAAAGTTTACTTTCATAGATCTAGTGATGCTGACTTTATGTATAATGGTTTTAAATGTGATTTGTAACCAAACAGTTAATCCTTCTGTTGAAAGTTTAAACACAGTCAGAATGTATACAAAAGACGAAACTGTTTATGGAAATGAATTTGAAATAGGCTAGTAGCTTTTAATAATTAATTGTAACCCGATTGAGGTGGATAAGTCACTCTTTATGCCACAAAAATATATTAACAAATTTAGTTTGAAGGTTAACTAGGTAGGGTTTTGTTAGCCCAAATGTCTTTCACAAATATAATCTTTAAAAGGTATATAAGTTTATATTGCATTTCCCCTCAAAAACGAGTTTTTAAATCTATTAAAATTCCCATTGCGCACCGGTCCCTTCGAAATTCCTTATTCAAACCATGAACTGTGTAAAATGTGCACAATGAAACTTACCGAACAATCTGGTAGCATGTCATTGCAGCAGTGTAGGAACATGCAGCATAATCCTGCGAGTTCAGGCATTACCATAGCACTGACACCGGCCACCATAACTGCACCATACCACCACCATGGACCACCATAGGCACACCAACACTAACACTGCACTCTCAATATCTCCATCCAACCATTGAAGTTAATTTCAATTTCAGTACAAATCGGACGCTACAAACCAAGTGTGTAATGTGTATACAGTCTTCAGTTCCAAGATCAAACTGAATCATACCGATACTATTAATAAATTAACATTTCAAACCCATCAAATTACGACAACACCAATACCTAACTCTAGCAAAAAGAATATTGAAACTGGTTTTCCCGAACCGGTTTAGAGTGGAAAAACGAGAATTTCACTAATTAATTTCGTCGCCGATGTTTTAGCGACTTCACGTACAAACGAGCGACTGAAAAACAGAAAACAATGAGTGGAATGAAAATGGCTTTGACGGTGGTCGTGGTGGGGGGGGGGGGGGGGAGTATTTACAGATCGACTCAATGAAAGAGCCGAGTGCCAAATGTAAAAACAAAACAGGACTTGTGTTGCGAACATTTAGCTAAGCGACAGTAGATGGTGAAATTGAAACTTCGATCCATCAATATAAGATATTTTACATTTTGGGTTGAAACTAGCCAAAAAAAATCGTTTTCGAGTATCACGACTTGAATATTGTTAACGTCGAACTAGGTACCGGTACTTAGCAAAACAACTAAAATTTTGTTTATGGCAAAACTACGATTTATTTTATTTGTGTTACAGTAAAAGGGTGAACCCACGATTTTTTAAAATTTGTTATATTGTAAAAACACTTTGACTGGGAAAAGATAGCCAAACAAACTATTAATTAAATTAACACAATAAAAGGTGTATAATCTAGGTACTGTAAATCAAGAAACTAAACAATGCCATAGCGAAATGAATACGATTTTTCATATTGTTCTTGTAAACATAGTGCTTATGCGAAATCGCACTTACGCCCTATTTTAAAGACAAAATTTGAAAAACAGTATAATGTAAACGTACGTCGCACTTTGATGGGAATTTCAAACCAACCAAATTAAAATTTCCCAAGATCCAAGTTACAAGAAACCTTTTACGTCATCACACGTCACCATTTCACTCCACTATCACACATTCTCCTCACACACTGACAACAGGTGGACCGTTGCACGCGAGAATGAGCCTTGCTGCCGGCGACACACGGAGCACAATGGCTCGCCGCGACACTGCCCGGTCGCCGGGCTGAGGAAGACTGGTTGGATCGATGCTGTGGGCGAGATGCTGAGAGTTGCGCCGTACAACCTTCACCTTGCCTCAACCTACAACCACAACACTGCGTAACGCGTAACGCATAATGTGTAAACAATACTAGAATAATCAACGTAGGACTTGAGGTGGTTTTGTGATGAGAGATTAGATATCCTCCCCTAAGGAGACATATCAGTTTTTGAAAAACAATCCTTCCACAAGGAGCAGTTTTGATAAGTGATCCTTCCATTAAGAGAGCTACTAGTTAAGTTTTTTTATGAGCGATCGTTCCGTGATGAAAGCTACTAGATTTTGATGAGCGATCCTCCCGTGAGGAGAGCTACCAGTTTTTGATGAGCGATCCTTCCTTAAGAAAGAGCTACCAGTTTTTGATGAGCAATCCTTACATAAGGACAGCTACAAGTTTTTGATGAGCGATCCTTCCTTAAGAAAGAGCTACCAGTGCTAGCTCTCATCGAATGATTGTACTGAGTTGACAGCTTGCCAAGTTGTACAATTAATTTAGCATACTCACAAATGCATTTATTCCACACCGCTTTTAAAGATAAGATTCTCCAATTTCATCAGATTTTTCACCATTAAAAAACCTTCAAAAGTAAAAATGTTCAAAGCAGAAATTTTAAAAATCCGAGAGAACCTGTATCCAAGTAACCTTTTGCCGTTGTAGTCTGTATTATGAAACCTGTCTCCCGTCCTACCGTTTACCTGGTAACTAGCCAATAGGTTTGGGCCTGAGTCAGTTCCAGGTAGACAGAGGTTCAGAAGACTGGTTCCACCAAACAGACTATAGGCGGTGATCGCCTCTGCTTGTGGCTTGTTTTGGTTTTCGCAATGTCGTCCTTCGCGCTTATTTACTCCAAATTCCCGGGCATCTTGTTAACAAGCGACTTCCGCTGGCAACTTTGCGGTTAAGGACGACCGCTGTTCCTTGACTAAAGAACACCACACAGGTCTCACAGCACTGTGCGTGTAAAGATGCCAACCATAAAACTACCCATACTTGATGGTAACACAGTCATTACAATGACACATGATGAAAAAGCGGCATGTGATTGATATACATTTAAGAATCATTTATTTTATCCACAGGAAATTTAGTTAAATCTACTTCTTTTACAAACAAAGAATATTTTATGATAGTGAATAAAATCACAACGGACATAACGGAACACCCTTCCAAAAACATGCCGTATCCCTTATTTATCACAGGATCATCAAGAAACACGGATAATTTCGCATTAAAAAATACGTATAGCACACAAAGCACACTAATTCAAACCTAATTCTGTTTTATATCCATCCTTCAGAGCACCTTCATTATAACTATGTCACGGGGTGCTCTTTTGAAGGTATAAGGGAATAAGACTTCGCCTAAAACATTCTAGAAAAAGTCCAGAACATTCGACAGAAAGAAAAAATATTCTGGAAAGTTTGGAAACACTCCAGTCAGGGTAGAACGTTCCAGATAATTCACTCGAATGTTGGGGAATGTTAAGAAGCCATACACTCTCCTACAACAATTTCAAATAGCCTTTAACCTAGTTTGTGTGTGCACCACTACAGGCTATCAAATGAGAGTGGGCCACGCGTATCATCTAAATTGCGACCCATATTGTCAACAACCGTAATACGCGACAGTAGAGTTGTTCCCGTTAGGTTTTACAAGCCCCAGAAGTGCCATTAACCCGCCAGCCACCATGATAACACGACAGATGACATATGTTGTCCTCGAATGGACACAGTTTCAGACGTTTCGGACGTTTCACAAACTCTCTCCGTCATCAGGGCTAATGCGCCTCAGATTATCTTACAAGGTCTCGCGGCCGTTACGCAATTTTAACTGGAATTGTGAATTGCGCGAATTAAATTCGGGAGGGGGAAACACATGTTGACTCAATTTAAAATATTTTAACTATTTTACACATTTTAAACAGAGTTTTTACCGAACGGTTGTACAGTGCGTAAACATGATTATTTTTGTACTTCCATTCACGTATGCGAATAGACACAATCAGTATTTAATGAAATATAATTTTCTTTCCATTTTCAGGGGGATGTAATAATAGAAATAAGCTAATAATTAAACAAGTGAATTTTTACTCCAATTGTACTTACAACAAATTCTTGGCTGGTGCTTCCGGTAACCAATAGTATATAAGATACACCATTGAGATTCTTGTCATTCGCCTATTGGGTCTGATAATTGGAGTGCCCAATCGAAATCGATCACCTCTTACCATCTTTTTGTATTTACCGTCTCGTGAATGAACTGTAAGTGTAGATATATTATTACAAGTGTTATTTGACGTATTTTTGTGCTTTCTAAATGTTGCAAAGAATTACAGTACATATCTCATATTTATGCGGTACATTCCGGGAAGTATGGATGACGTCATTGATTGATTGTACATGACAGAAGAGAAGAGTGGTGAAGTCAGCACTCAAGTGCACTGACTGCCGATGACGCAGCAAAAACGTCCCTTCCTCTTCAGCAATACAATCCATTTCAGTTCAGTTTACAAATTCCAATTTTGTAAAAAAATATTTACCCGACGATACATGTTATTATTTTTACACTGTTGTATGCAATTAAATGTAATTTTTGGTTACTTAAAAAATGAACTACACTGATGGTACGATGAACAAATATCTAAAATTGAATAACAATAGGAACTAAAGGTTGCCCGTGGTCGAAAACTCGCCCAAAAATATGGATTGTACAAACTTCTCTATTTTCAATCCACGCTGTAAATAAAACATGTGATTGGAATTCCTTCCATTTGTTTAGATTTTCTGTTTATATTTCGTTGTTATTTCGTTACCAGCATAGCAACCAATAAGGCCGGCCCATGTTGATTTTTTAAAAATTAATTTTGTTGTGCTTATTTTTGAGTCTATTTAAATTTATAAAGGGATTCTGCATATCTACAGGCTTTAACAGTAGATTTCCCCTGCAATGCACACGAGCTGAGGAAAAATGTTTTTAAGAAACATATATGAAAACACTGAAACTTTAAGGGTTTCCAGGGCCCGCTTTAAAGTAAAGCCGTTATAAGAAAACATCTTAACTTTTCTTCTTATTTACCTGAGTATACCGAATTTCAGACTTTAAACTAGTTGGGAAAATGGAAAATTAGACAAACCAGTCAGGGGAGGCTTTCAATTTGATGTAGCAAACAATACTTCATTCAATTTTAATACATGGGCGAACAAAACAGATCTTACACCAAGTTATGTCAAAAATGTTTCCACATTAGTCCCAAGTAATCTTAATATTTCAACCGCTGATCTAAACTAGTAAACCAGAATTGATTCTCAAAATCCATAACCCTCCACACAGAAGCAATGAATGCTTTCTCTTAACACTTCCAAATGCACTTCAAGAGGTTGTAAACCGCCAAGTGTTGACTGTGTTGTAGGACGGTTAACTACTTTTACGAGGCGGCGACACTACAGTACTGAGGAAGTGGTGGGAGTGAGATCGTGATAGTACTGCGAATACGACACAAGGAGACTGCGACAAACAATCACACAAGAACGTGGTGAAAACATGGGCAAGAAATTATAGAAGAGACGTTTGGGTTCACGTGAGAACTATATTGTTGCAATGCTTATAAAGTTTCATTTAGTTGTTGGTGTATTTCGAATTTATATAATGTTTTTGTTTATCAGGTCTCCCTATAAAGATTTGCAGGTATGAACCTCATATAGATGTGCAACTTCCCTGAAACGAATTCCTACATTTTTTGTCCTAGGAAGATAGGCACGAGCCCGGAATTGTTTTTCACATTACTCCAGGCTAGACCTAGGAGTTACGGCATTATCACTTAATATCCATTGGTGATTTCGTGGGATTTGAACCCGGGACCCCAGAAACTGGAGTCCCGCGCTCTGCTCTAACCACTAGACCAGCTCGCTCCCCCATAGAGGAGACTAACTTTGTCTGCTAGCAACAATGACCACTGAAAGTTATGTTCAATTATAAACACCCCAATGAGTACGTAAAATTTTACTTGAAATCGTGTTAATTCATTCAAGTTAGATTTTAAATGGCTGTTCACTTATGTTTGAGACACGGGTTATAAGGTACGAAATACCTTGAATTATTGGTATTAAAGGCATTACATGTTGAGAATAGATTTTGAATTAGGAATAAATTGTTTAGTTCATTTTACGTTCTTTAAGACAACACTTTGAAACAATTATTTCACTGAAATGAATTGTCTACAACACTTCTAATTATCATGAGTCGTCACATCTTTTGTACTAATAATTAAAATAGTTCACACATAAACAGTGAGAAAATCATTTTCGTCGTACTAAAAATATCAGACAAAACAATTCAGCACATAGCACAAACGACGTTTTAATCTAAACCTCCTCCAGCCGAGATCTAGAGATCGTAGACGAATATCATTGCAAGTGAAAAGCAGACGTCTTTACACAGGAAACCGCGGCGAACACTGATTTAACTTATTTCACTCGAGCTTTACCCGCCATAACAAGAAAAGCTGGAGAATAGCGAGGGAAACCCATTATATTTGTCTCTTGATAATGTATAGCTATACCTGTCTCCGTTTTGATCAAAATCGGACCAAAATTACTCGTGATATCGATTCACAATAATATGCATAAATTTGAAAGAATAGTGTTTTTGGCCTAGCTCCTTCCCTGTAGGGAAATTCGTTAACCCTCTCGCAGAATCTTTTTACAGAGTTTAATTAGCTAAGAATGCATTCATTAACAATAATACCACTAAAACAAACATTATCTGTACAGAGTATTACGATTTGGAACATTACTGTAAATGAATTTCTAAAGGAAATATAAATACCCCCGCCGCAGCAAACCTGCCGACTAAGCGAATTTCCATTTGTCTGAATTGATTTTCAGATAAATATATTTTAATAACATTAGGTTTAACGAGTACCTAGGTT